ACACCATCCCAGTTTCATACAGCTCGCCATGCTTATTTAATGAGGCAGCCTTGCCGACCTCTCTTTGTCTCCATGGCAACAGGTCTCACTGCTGAGCTAACGTTAGCTTAGCCGCGCTTTGTTTCCTCAGGAGAAAACATCGACAAATCATCTTTTTTTCCAGCTATAAACTTCACTTAAGTTTCAGATCTGAGTGTAAATGCAGCTTTGGTGTCGATTAAGCTTTGAGGGAGCTCGCAGTGTTCGACAGTGAGGGCTAATTCGACCCAATTGGATTTAATAGTAGCTAGCTGGCTAAATCTCGCCACTCCTGAAGGCGCTTTCTTTTTTTCCCGCCTGTTTTCACACAAGTCCCGCCTGCTCCGCTTGGATTGGCTGATACGAGCCCAGCTCTGATGCTACGATTGGCCGACTGCGTGAAAACCAACGCAGGCGCGGGTAATCTTAGCCAATCCCAGCGCAGGAGGCGGGTCTTGTCGGAAAACAGGTGCAAAAATGAAGCGTAGTAGCCAGCACGGCTAAAGAGAGTTAAAGAGACAGTAACACGTTTTTCACGCGCTACAAATATTAATCTTATTCTGCCTGAACCTAAATTGTTATGGTTTTAAGACTCGCTTGAGCACAATTGTGACTTAAAACACAAAATACGCCTGATAAACAACTATGAAGTGATATTTTATTTATCTCTTCATCTACAGCCTTTCTCCAGAGCGTTGTTTATAAAATAAACCACCTCGCTTACTAATAAACGCCCCCCATACAATCCCAGTTCTCCTCTTTTTTGGTCTAACTTGCTGAAATAAGCCGAGAGGAGCAAAATCACCATCTGTCAGTCTCCTCTTTCGCCACGATGAGCCATCAAGCTCCATCTGCGAGCTCCTACCTTTGCTTGCATCTTTGTCTTCCTTCGTCTTTGCTGCCTTGGCGCTCATAGATCCCAGCTTGGAGACACAGATCCGGGTGAAGACTTGCAGCAGATCAGCCTGAGCACCATTTAAAACTGGCTCTTCGCTCCAGAGGTGGCCAGCCTCTCCTTAAAGGCACCAGCTTCCCTCAGCAGGGCTGCTGGAGCACCACAAAGCCACCAGAGCAGAGAGGAGCTAGAGGAGAGCACCAGGCTGGAAGTGTGTATTTATAGAACCAGCCTGACATCAGCGCAGCTCCAGGTCCATTTCTGCTCAGTGAGAGGAGCTGGACTCAGCACAGAGCAGCACAGCGCGCGCCTTCACTGAACGGACTCCACAACATCTGGCTGCTTCACCTGGAGCCTCCCAGCCTGCTGATCTCATCTCTGGGGAGCTGGGCGGAGGAAGGTGGCCGAGATACGAGCGCTTTAGCAAACTGCCGTAGAGAAAGTGGCACGGAAGCACCTGCAGGGCTGGGCAGGGGTGGGTTTGGGGTCCAGCTTGGAGGTAAAGGTCATGGCTGGTTTACTGAAGTCCGAATGTTCTCAGCTCTCCGAACTTCAGCTCAGCGTGTGTGACGTAACAGAGCTTGAGGAGCTTCTCTCTTTAAAGCAGAATGATCACATCATCAGACCTCCTCCTGCTGAACAGGCATCATCGAGTTATTATATAAATTTATATATGCATGCTGGGAAAATAAACACTCACTAAGCAAATAAAAACATTTTAATTCTAATTTTTTAAAACTTACATTCTATTGAACTTCTAAATGGAATGCAATTCTCAGATCACACATCTTATGCTAAGTTCCTGTTGGAAGCTCAGTGTACCCTAAAAAGAAAAAAGCTGGGTAACGTTACGCGCTCAGACTCAACTTTAACTCATCATCACATTTTTACACCTGAGAGCTGAGTGGAGGGAGCTGGTCACCATCCAGCATTAAAGAGCCCATATCCCTCATTTTTGGGTATTTTATCTTTTCACACTGAGTTCCACTTATGACATTTATGTGTGTTTAAGTACCAAAAATATTCATAAATATTTTTTATATTTTAACTTCTGCATGAATGGTCAGGACTAAGCTGCTGTAGACTGAATGGTGGAGCTAAACTGCTGTAGGCTGAATGGGTGGGGCTAAACTGCTGTAGCTGAATGGGTGGGGCTAAACTGCTGTAGGCTGAATGGGTGGGGCTATACTGCTGTAGGCTGAATGGGCGGGGCTAAACTGCTGTAGGCTGAATGGGTGGGGCTATACTGCTGTAGGCTGAATGGGCGGGGCTAAACTGCTGTAGGCTGAATGGTGGAGCTAAACTGCTGTAGGCTGAATGGGTGGGGCTAAACTGCTGTAGGCTGAATGGGCGGGGCTAAACTGCTGTAGCTGAATGGTGGGGCTAAACTGCTGTAGGCTGAATGGTGGGGCTAAACTGCTGTAGGCTGAATGGTAGGGCTAAACTGCTGTAGGCTGAATGGGTGGGGCTAAACTGCTGTAAGTTGAATGGGCGGAGCTAAACTGCTGTAGGTTGAATAAGGGTCAGCTGAATATGTAAAAGAGTGACATCAGAAATAAATAATTTAAAAATTGAGCTGTTTTTGCAGCTTAGTCTCTGTACAGGATGGTGAGTGAACAGTACAGTCTGAAACTTAAATTCTACATCAACTATTATTTCAAAAAACGTGAGGAAAGTTAATTTTCTGTGATTTGGGCCCTTTAAAGCAGTTTGAGCTGAAGAACACTGTCTTAATATCTCTATTAGGGGTCGTTCGCTACTTCATGCAGCAGTAGGTTGCTGAAAGAATGTCAGATGCAGTAACTCTTTATTTTAGCTGTAACCAGAGTGACGTTGTGCCACCTCCTCTCTGCGCTTTTGGAAAAATGGAGCAACGAGCACTATATAATAAATGATGTAAGAGGAGAGAAATATGCAGCTCAGCTCAGAGAAAAGACAAAGTGGAAAAGAGTCACACAGACTGTTCAGAGGATACAGCGTTACAGTGTCACCGTACAGCATCAGAGCTGAAGGAGGAGGCTGAGCGGATGAGCAGAGGGACAGAGCGGCTTCACTGTGACTGAGCCGCTCTGTAAGTGCGTTACGCAGCACAATCGAACAGGTTAACTCGGCAGCTTTATATAAGCCAAATGCAACATGAATAATAGAGTTTACTCTCCATGTTTCAAAGCCACGGAGATTCAGTCACAGTCAGCTTATGTAAACACAGCGTAAGCACTTCACTATCTGAGGAACAGAGCTGTATACGAACACAATGAATATTTTACAGTCATTCAGCTGTTCTGGATGTGCATGTGTCTCATATCGGACATGTTTACTGCGCTTGGATCCTGTAGGAACAGCAGAGAGTTTAACTGTGTGAGTGATATTGATGTCCAGCGTGGCTCAGCAAGCGCTGACACTACAAGAAATACAGATCATATGAGAGAAAAGTAAAGAATCTGAATTAAACTGTACTCAAAGCTCAGACATTCAGCTTTTTTCTGTATTGTATTTTTTCCCTGAGCTATCCTTTTGAGGTCTGTGCACTAAAAACAGTCATACGCCTCTCTTTATCCCTGATAGTTAAACAGACTGTTTTTGATACTGTGCCTTTAAGACTGATATATGTAAATTGGGTTCTTTTCTGATTGGCTGCCCTCATTCAAAAAGTAGTCCAGCCTGAAACACTCCTTGTAACTTTAGTTTGAATGGGTGGGGCTAAACTGCTGTAGGCTGAATGGGTGGAGCTAAACTGCTGTAGGCTGAATGGGTGGGGCCAAACTGCTGTAGGCTGAATGGGTGGGGCTAAACTGCTGTAGGCTGGATGGGTGGGGCTAAGCTGCTGTAGGCTGGATGGGTGGGGCTAAACTGCTGTAGGCTGGATGGGTGGGGCTAAAGCAGGGGTCAGCAACATGCAGCCTCGGAGCCGCATCCGGCTCTTTTCCTGCCCTGTTGCTCCACAGCTGAATCAGATTTGTAGGTAAAAATAAAATAATCCTCCTTTACAGTAAAATAAAGCTCTGCTGATCATTCAACACAGTTTAACAATAAATGGTCTTAAACTCTGGAGTTAATGTAGAACTGCTAATTCACCCTTTAACCCTGAAGATCAGCGCAGACTGCTGGTCACCATAGCAACACGGACAACAGTCTCGCCTAGATAGTAGCTAACGAAACGGCAAAGAGAGAGATTTAAGATGAACATCGATAATTTGGAGATGAATGGACTGATTTGTGTTTGTAATCACTCCAGCTGGTTTCCTGATACATTTAATCTGCAGTGAGAAACTGAAACACTGAAAAGTCACGATGCTGACCAAGAAGCTGGCGAATAAGAAGCGACTTCAGCCTCATAAAAAGTTGAATGTTGAGAGACATTTTGTAAGAAACTGTTCTACTTTTGTGGAAAAGTTTCCTGCTGGAGATGCTAGAAAAGCAGCTGTAGCTGAGCTAAAGCTTAAAGCAGAGCAGAGTAAGTCTGTGTTTTCATATATATATATATATATATATTATATATATATATAGGTTTGTTGTTTTTTGTGACATTACAAAATTAATACAGATTTGCTTGCAAATTAATAATAATAATAATAATAAATAATAATACCAAAAAACTTACCATCTCTAATTTTGTATCAGTGAGCTTGTTTGTTTTGTTGACTTTGTGAGTGACGAATTTCCAGAATAATAACATAAACAGTGTTTTTTGCGTAAAAGTTTATACAGCAGTTTTCTTTGCTTATGATCACCTGTTGGAATTTTATGTACGTGTGGCTTATGCGTCCTGACCAGCACAGCACTGTTAGTCAGCCTGGTCACTGTTACTGGACCCTAACTGTGGTCATCTCTGCGTCAATTACAGGAAGTCAGAGAGAACATGAGCACACTTACACGCATACACACACGTAGAGAAGCGTCATCTGTGCATACATTAATTAAAAATGATGATAAAAACGTTATTTTAGATGAAAAGCTGTAACACTGACCAACAGAACACTGACCTACAGGCCCAGTGAGAGTAAACGAAAAGCTGCTTTACTGCTTTAGTCCTGTTTCCTAAATGTTTTCAGTTCAGACTCAGATCCACCCACTTCTTCTGCATCAGCAAGTGCAAACACAGCTGTGCTGGACTTTGGAGTGGACAGTCCAAGTGTCGGTCCAGTTGGGAAAGTTTGTGGCAAAATGGAGAAGATTAAACTGTTTCTTCTGATCTGCGGAGTTTTACACGAAACACGACTCACTTCTGGAGGTAAAGCTGATAATTTCTCTCCTTGTTCTTTTATTAATCATCTATTTATGATTTCTCAACATGGTGACGTTCGTAGTGAATAAGTAAATAAATCACACTCATGAAGAAGCTGCCAAAAAAGACTTAAGACAGTAAACATGTTTTGTTTTTGCATTAAATTGTTCAGTTTGTATTCCTGGATTCGCTCACTGAGGCGCATAGATTAAATATATAAAATATTAAATTATATTTAGTCCTAATCAGGCCAAATTAGAGCTCACAGTTATTTCCAGAAAAAAACAAATCCTTGGATTGTTTTAAATTTTATATTCAGTTATTAATTTATTTAGTTTAGATATTTTGAGTAAGTTAGTAATTGGACTCATTTTCATGTGGAGACTTTGGGTCAGTTAATTAAAATGTCTTACGATTATTAAACAAAATTTTAAAGGATATTTTGTCTAATTTTTTCCATATTTCTTTATTTTTTATGAAAAGCAAGATCTTATTCTGATGTCCTAACTGTCCATGTCCGTCTGTCTCTGTCCAGCGTCTGTGTTTCTGTCCAGACAGTCGGCAGGGTCAGTTCTGTCCAGGCAGAAGCGCTACAACACTGGAGCATTTGAGGAGATGATGAAAGATAATCTGGAGCGAGAGTGCATAGAGGAGAGCTGCACCGTGGAGGAGGCGCGAGAGGTGTTCGAGAATGATGAGAAAACAGTGAGTAACTAATGAGAATGAAGAGAAAACAGTGAGTAACTAACAAGAATGAAGTTGAAAACACTGAGTAACTGATGAGAATAAAGAGAAAACAGTGAGTAACTAATGAGAATGAAGAGAAAACACTGAGTAACTAAAAAGAATGAGGAGAAAACAGTGAGTAACTAATGAGAATGAAGAGAAAACACTGAGTAACTAATGAGAATGAAGAGAAAACAGTGAGTAACTAATGAGAATGAAGAGAAAACACTGAGTAACTAATGAGAATGAAGAGAAAACAGTGAGTAACTAATGAGAATGAAGAGAAAACACTGAGTAACTAATGAGAATGAAGAGAAAAACAGTGAGTAACTAATGAGAATGAAGAGAAAACAGTGAGTAACTAATGAGAATGAAGAGAAAACACTGAGTAACTAATGAGAATGAAGAGAAAACAGTGAGTAACTAACAAGAATGAAGTTGAAAACACTGAGTAACTGATGAGAATAAAGAGAAAACAGTGAGTAACTAATGAGAATGAAGAGAAAACAGTGAGTAACTAATGAGAATGAAGAGAAAACACTGAGTAACTAATGAGAATGAAGAGAAAACAGTGAGTAACTAACAAGAATGAAGTTGAAAACACTGAGTAACTGATGAGAATAAAGAGAAAACAGTGAGTAACTAATGAGAATGAAGAGAAAACACTGAGTAACTAAAAGAATGAGGAGAAAACAGTGAGTAACTAATGAGAATGAAGAGAAAACACTGAGTAACTAAAAAGAATGAGGAGAAAACAGTGAGTAACTAATGAGAATGAAGAGAAAACCCTGCATAATTAATGAGAATGAAGAGAAAACACTGCGTAATTAATGAGAATGAAGAGAAAACAGTAATCAACTAATGAGAATGAAGAGAAAACAGTAATCAACTAATGAGAATGAAGAGAAAACCCTGAGTAACTAAAAAGAATGAGGAGAAAACAGTGAGTAACTAATGAGAATGAAGAGAAAACCCTGCATAATTAATGAGAATGAAGAGAAAACACTGCGTAATTAATGAGAATGAAGAGAAAACACTGCGTAATTAATGAGAATGAAGAGAAAACAGTAATCAACTAATGAGAATGAAGAGAAAACCCTGCATAATTAATGAGAATGAAGAGAAAACAGTAACTAATGAGAATGAAGAGAAAACCCTGCATAATTAATGAGAATGAAGAGAAAACAGTGAGTAACTAATGAGAATGAAGAGAAAACACTGAGTAACTAATGAGAATGAAGAGAAAACAGTGAGTAACTAATGAGAATGAAGAGAAAACAGTGAGTAACTAATGAGAATGAGGAGAAAACACTGGATAACCAATGAGAATGAAGGGAAAACACTGAGTAACTAATGAGAATGAAGAGAAAACAGTGAGTAACTAACAAGAATGAAGTTGAAAACACTGAGTAACTGATGAGAATAAAGAGAAAACAGTGAGTAACTAATGAGAATGAAGAGAAAACACTGAGTAACTAAAAAGAATGAGGAGAAAACAGTGAGTAACTAATGAGAATGAAGAGAAAACACTGAGTAACTAAAAAGAATGAGGAGAAAACAGTGAGTAACTAATGAGAATGAAGAGAAAACCCTGCATAATTAATGAGAATGAAGAGAAAACACTGCGTAATTAATGAGAATGAAGAGAAAACAGTAATCAACTAATGAGAATGAAGAGAAAACAGTAATCAACTAATGAGAATGAAGAGAAAACCCTGAGTAACTAAAAGAATGAGGAGAAAACAGTGAGTAACTAATGAGAATGAAGAGAAAACCCTGCATAATTAATGAGAATGAAGAGAAAACACTGCGTAATTAATGAGAATGAAGAGAAAACACTGCGTAATTAATGAGAATGAAGAGAAAACAGTAATCAACTAATGAGAATGAAGAGAAAACCCTGCATAATTAATGAGAATGAAGAGAAAACAGTAACTAATGAGAATGAAGAGAAAACCCTGCATAATTAATGAGAATGAAGAGAAAACAGTGAGTAACTAATGAGAATGAAGAGAAAACACTGAGTAACTAATGAGAATGAAGAGAAAACAGTGAGTAACTAATGAGAATGAAGAGAAAACAGTGAGTAACTAATGAGAATGAGGAGAAAACACTGGATAACCAATGAGAATGAAGGGAAAACACTGAGTAACTAATGAGAATGAAGAGAAAACACTGAGTAACTAATGAGAATGAAGAGAAAACAGTGAGTAACTAATGAGAATGAGGAGAAAACACTGAGTAACTAATGAGAATGAAGAGAAAATATTGAGTAACTAATGAGAATGTAGAGAAAACAGTGAGTAACTAATGAGAATGAAGAGAAAACAGTGAGTAACTAATGAGAATGAAGAGAAAACAGTGAGTAACTAATGAGAATGTAGAGAAAACAGTGAGTAACTAATGAGAATGAAGAGAAAACAGTGAGTAACTAATGAGAATGAAGAGAAAACAGTGAGTAACTAATGAGAATGAGGAGAAAACACTGAGTAACTAATGAGAATGAAGAGAAAATATTGAGTAACTAATGAGAATGTAGAGAAAACAGTGAGTAACTAATGAGAATGAAGAGAAAACAGTGAGTAACTAATGAGAATGAAGAGAAAACAGTGAGTAACTAATGAGAATGAAGAAAAAACAGTAACTAATGAGAATGAAGAGAAAACACTGAGTAACTAATGAGAATGAAGAGAAAACAGTAACTAATGAGAATGAAGAGAAAACACTGAGTAACTAATGAGAATGAAGAGAAAACAGTGAGTAACTAATGAGAATGAAGAGAAAACAGTGAGTAACTAAAAAGAATGAAGAGAAAACTGCATAACTAATGAGAATGAAGAAAAAACACTGAGTAACTAAAGAGAATGAAGAGGAAACAGTAACTAATGAGAATGAAGAGAAAACACTGAGTAACTAATGAGAATGAAGAGAAAACAGTGAGTAATTAATGAGAATAAAGAGAAAACAGTGAGTAACTAAAAAGAATGAAGAGAAAACTGCATAACTAATGAGAATGAAGAAAAAACACTGAGTAACTAATGAGAATGAAGAGAAAATATTGAGTAACTAATGAGAATGTAGAGAAAACAGTGAGTAACTAATGAGAATAAAGAGAAAACACTGGATAACTAATGAGAATGAAGAGAAAACACTGAGTAACTAATGAGAATGAAGAGAAAACACTGAGTAACTAACGAGAATGAAGAGAAAACAGTGAGTAACTAATGAGAATGAAGAGAAAACACTGAGTAACTAACGAGAATGAAGAGAAAACAGTGAGTAACTAATGAGAATAAAGAGAAAACACTGGATAACTAATGAGAATGAAGTTGAAAATACTGGATAACTAATGAGAATGAAGAGAAAACAGTGAGTAACTAATGAGAATGAAGAGAAAACAGTGAGTAACTAATGAGAATAAAGAGAAAACACTGGATAACTAATGAGAATGAAGAGAAAACACTGAGTAACTAATGAGAATGAAGAGAAAACACTGAGTAACTAACGAGAATGAAGAGAAAACAGTGAGTAACTAATGAGAATGAAGAGAAAACACTGAGTAACTAACGAGAATGAAGAGAAAACAGTGAGTAACTAATGAGAATGAAGAGAAAACACTGCGTAACTAACGAGAATGAAAAGAAAATATTGAGTAACTAACAAGAATGAAGTTGAAAACACTGAGTAACTAATGAGAATAAAGAGAAAACACTGAGTAACTAATGAGAATGAAGAGAAAACACTGAGTAACTAACGAGAATGAAGAGAAAACAGTGAGTAACTAATGAGAATGAAGAGAAAACAGTGAGTAACTAATGAGAATGAAGAGAAAACACTGCGTAACTAACGAGAATGAAAAGAAAACAGTGAGTAACTAATGAGAATGAAGAGAAAACAGTGAGTAACTAATGAGAATGAAGAGAAAATATTGAGTAACTAATGAGAATGAAGTTGAAAACACTGAGTAACTAATGAGAATAAAGAGAAAACACTGAGTAACTAATGAGAATAAAGAGAAAACACTGAGTAACTAATGAGAATGAAGAGAAAACACTGAGTAACTAATGAGAATAAAGAGAAAACAGTGAGTAACTAATGAGAATAAAGAGAAAACAGTGAGTAACTAATGAGAATAAAGAGAAAGCACTGAGTAACTAATGAGAATGAAGAGAAAACAGTGAGTAACTAATGAGAATGAATAGAGTGTAATAACAGTGTAATAACAGAGTGATGAGCCTGAATCCCTCAGTTTACCCTCTTTTCCTCCTGCAGATGGAGTTCTGGGCCGGTTATATTGGTGAGCGCTGCTTAAATCTGATTAAATACATTTATACTGTATGAGTGTAACTGAATGACTCCCCTTCTTCACTGTCCTCAACTCAAACAACACATCCAAAATACCTTTCTATAGTCTATAGCTGTGTAATAACGACTGTGTGTGTGTGTGTGTGTGTGTGTGTGTGTGTGTTTGTGTCAGATGGAGATCAGTGTTCGTCGTCTCCGTGTCAGAACGGTGGGTCGTGTGAAGACGGGATGAGTGCGTACGTCTGCTGGTGTCCAATCGGCTTCAACGGCAAAAACTGTGAGCTAGGTAACATCAGAGTCTCCATAAACACACACAGATGCCAGTAATATGTCCCATATGCTTTAGATATGTGTACCAACATGTATTACTAACGTGTCATATACATGTAGATGTACAAACTGATCAACCATTTTATTAAGTCCACCTCCTCGGTTCTTCTCTCACTGTTCACGTTATCAGCTCCACTGACCGTATAGTTTCACTCTGTAGTTCTACAGTTACAGACTGTAGTCCATCTGTTTCTCTGATACTTTGTTACCCTGTTCTTCAGTGGTCAGGACCCCCATGGACCCTCACAGAGCAGGTACTATTTGGGTGGTGGATCATTCTCAGCACTGCAGTAACACTGACGTGGTGGTGGTGTGTTAGTGTGTGTTGTGCTGGTCTGAGTGGATCAGACACAGCAGTGCTGCTGGAGTTTTTAAACACCTCAGTGTTGCTGCTGGACTGAGAATAGTCCACCAACCAAAAATATCCAGCCAACAGCGTCCTGTGGGCAGCGTCCTGTGACCACTGATGAAGGACTAGAGGATGACCAACACAAACTGTGCAGCAGCAGATGAGCTATCGTCTCTGACTTTACATCTACAAGGTGGACTGACAAGGTAGGAGTGTCTAATGGAGTGGACAGTGAGTGGACACAGTGTTTAAAAACTCACGTCAGTAACAAAGTATCAGAGAAACAGATGGACTACAGTCTGTAACTGTAGAACTACAGAGTGAAACTATACAGTCAGTGGAGCTGATACAGTGGACAGTGAGTGTAGAAACAAGGAGGAAGTGACTGGTCAGTGTATATTGTCTGATTTAAATACAGGAGCGATTACATCATGGTGTTTTGTATTCATCTCTTATATTTCTGAATGTGTGTTTACACTGTTGTGTATCAGTAGTTCACACTGTTGTGTATCAGTGTGTTGTTAAAGAGTCAGTGTGTGTGTTCAGAGATGGCGCGTCAGTGTGACGTTAATAACGGAGGATGTATGCAGTTCTGCATGGTGGATAAAACGTACGGTGCGGTGTGCGACTGCGCTGACGGATATAGACTCGCTCTGGACAGCAGGAGCTGCGAGCCCACAGGTACCTGACCGCTCTATAACAGCAGAGTGAGATATACTGACGAGAGCAATAACCTGATTATCTTAACATCCCTGAACATGTGTGCTTTCTGCAGCTGCGCAGAAGAACGTGTATGTAGTATTATGAGCACATATAACTGTTACATATAGGCCATGTGAGAAAATATTACTTAAAGCTGTTTATTTGGATCCATGTCCTAAAAATACCTACTTAATTTTGTCCATGGAGGTTCACCTTTAATGCCTCTGTGGTTTTATGTACCAAAAACAGTCATAATTCATTTTTACACAACCTCTCTTCATCCTTTAAACAGGATGTTTTTGTTAATGTGCCTTTAAGACTGATGTATGTAAATGAGCTTTAATCTGATTGGCTGTGCTCGTTTAAAATGCTTAGAACACTCATAACTACAGCATAAACTGCTGTAGCTGAATGGTGGGACTAAAGTGCTGTAGGCTGAATGGGTGGAGCTGAACTGCTGTAGGCTGAATGGGTGGAGCTAAACTGCTGTAGGCTCAATGGTGGAGCTAAACTGCTGTAGGCTGAATGGGCGGGGCTAAACTGCTGTAGGCTGAATGGGTGGGGCTGAACTGCTGTAGGCTGAATGGGTGGAGCTAAACTGCTGTAGGCTGAATGGTGGAGCTAAACTGCTGTAGGCTGAATGGGCGGGGCTAAACTGCTGTAGGCTGAATGGGTGGGGCTGAACTGCTGTAGGCTGAATGGGTGGAGCTAAACTGCTGTAGGCTGAATGGGTGGAGCTGAACTGCTGTAGGCTGAATGGGCGGGGCTAAACTGCTGTAATTGTATGTGTTCTAATGTTCAGTAAAACCACAGTTACTGCCCAGTTAAGCGCTTTTAATCAGGAGTTTTCTCAGGTGTCCAAATATTTATGCATGTAAGCCTGAATGTTTATCCTCTGTTCGTAGCGAAATACTCGTGTGGCCGTTTGAGTTCCCACATCGTTAAAGCTT